GGTTTCTAAGCAGAAGTCAGCAGTCTTTTAAGGAATGTTTGTCCAATGATGGAGAAGCTGTTCCTAAATAACACCGCAAGGGTACATTGCATGGTCTTGCTCTAGAGCATGAGTGTCTTTTTCCTGCAAAGTTTAGTCGCTGATTAAGTGATTGGTGCTTTACAATGCATGCGGCATAAAAAGGGTGCACATCTAATCTGAGGCTATGTTTTTCTGTAACTGGGTTACATTTTAACTTGTGTGCAGTGATGCTATAAAGAATCAACAATAAAATTGTTCTGCAATTCATAGGGAGCCTCACTTTTTTTTTTTTTCCTTATTGACTTATTGCTGCCAGTTTTGTTACTCTCAGAAAGGATCTTACATTTTGTGCTCTTTGGAATGATATCATTTGTTTTTAAATTCCCAGATGATGAATTTATTTCCACCGAAGCCACTTTTGTTCCCATTTTTACAAACAGAGCTTCTTTCTATCTCAGTTTTTAAGACCGGAGAAAACTGCGAAAAGCTCTTCTGCATGCTGTGCCTAAGCATGTTGGCAACGGGTGCCTCTTGGTTCGCTTGCCTTACGATTGCAAATAGCTGAAGAGACACGGACTCCCAAACCTGCTGCTTCTCTGCCCAGTTCCTCATGCATCTTCCTGAGCTGTTTTCCAGGCCTGCTTCTCTTTCCTGTCTAGCTCTGTTGCTTTCCCGTTTGTATCCCCTGTAGCCCAGCGCATTAATGGCACATCCTAATGTAGCCTTCCGCATGCTGCTAGAAGGAAACCCCATCTATCTGACAGGTCTTTATGATCCAGCCTTCATTCTGTTTATCACTACTCACAGTCTTGCCTAATACATTTGCACCCGGGCTTTGGGAATTGCATTTTGTGCTCTTTTCATGTAGGGCAGGTGGGCTGCAGTCATCTCAGGCTCTTTGAAGCCTAGGGCACGTTGTTAAGATCCTGTAAAGCCAGAAAGCCTTCCTGAGGCCTTCTCAAGGCCTTGTGGTTTGAAGTAGAAAGCCCTTTTTCCACGTGGCCACATGAGGGCAGGCTGCGACCTGTCTTCATGCAACGCAGAAAGGCAAAGCACGACAGAACCGAGGTGTAGAAGAGTTCAAAACGGGGTGTAGAAGAGTTCAAAACGTGGTGTAGAACAGTTCCAAGGGGGCCCTTGGGCTCTGATGGCGTACCCAGGATGAGCAGAGTCAGTCTTCAACCACAGCGGCATTGCAGACAGGGTCCCAAACTGAGATCTGTGTTTGAAATGGCCCTGAATGCAGGTGCCTGCAACTAGTGAAGGCAGCGTTTGCTTCTGTTGATGGCTAAAGGTTAGTGTTAAATACAAAAAGTTGCCTGGATAAGGAAGAGGAAAACAAAGTGTGGGAGTCACTTGAATCGGAGTGTTACCCAGTCTTCCTAACACCTGCTAAACCAGATCCTGGAAGGAGAAGATCTGAACAGAAGTATTCCAGGGGCTGTGGGAAGAAGTCCAATTGACCTTGGCATGGCCATRGAATCTGTGAGATTCTCCTTTTAGTATGTGTGCCCTATGGGTCTACCTCATTGCAAGATGACCTTTATTGTGGACTCCCTTGGCTGCATGGATACCACCTGCGTTGGTTATAAGGAGATCTTTAAGGTGATATCCACAACCAGTTGGAGGAATCCTGTTTCATATAATCCACCAGACCTGTGGTGTTAGGTGTTCATTCAATAGTGTTAAAGAGGCTTTATCCACTGGCCAGAATCCATCCTTATCCACATCCATGCAAAACTTCCGGGTCTGCACACATGATTCAATGTTTCTGGTTGAAGCCATGGTCTGGTTTGAAAGTAGGTAGGAATGGGAAGAAAGCACTGAACATGAAATAGTCTCCTGGAGTCCATAGTACTTCCAACCCATCTCTGAGTATATCAACATGAATTTACATTTGTYTTTTTTGGAACTAGAGCAGATGATCTTCCAGATGGTCACAGGAGGGCATAGTGCACCTTGTCTAGAACAATATTTAATGTTTTYCACTCATTCTTTGGTAAGTGAAAGTTGCAGACTTCATTTATTTTCTTGCTGCCAAGACAAATCCCCATTTATCTCACTAAAAGAGTCTATTTGAAATACTGGGAGGAAGTGAGATCTTACATCCTGGCTGTTAGCTTGGAAAGCTCTCTATGAATGGAGAATAGGTCCTGCTTAAATGATGCTGCAAATAGAGTTTCTCTAGTCAAGCTGTGTGTTTCTGAATTGATGAGCTTGCTCTTGCATAGGGTATGCTAGAAACCAGCGTGACCGTGGCAGCTTTATGTCGCCCATCCTTAGACAAGGGCAATCTGGAGCTAGTCATGTGCCTAGCTGMCTGCATTGCCACAGAGAGAGAAGGGCTTTCTGGGAGTATACTTCAAGTCGCTCAAGGGTAGCCTTTAAAAATAGGTCATAAGAATTACACGCAGAAGACCCATCCTCTCTCTTGTGTGTGAGAGGGGTGGCCTAGAGCGGTGGTTTGGATGTCAATACCTACAGTGTGGCTGTACTGAGAGATGTGTGCCTGAAATGCCTCAAAGTGTGGGCTTTTGGGTCAACTCTTGAGGGCACTGGAGGAATCCTATCTCTGGCCTCAAGAGTGTCTTCTTCTTCTTCACAATGTCTCTAAGACAGACTAAAAGCTACCATAAACCTCCAACTGTTTTCCTGTCCTTGCCATTTGAGGTGAACAGTTGTGTGCTTTGACAGAAGGGTTGGATGTTTTGGTTTTTGTCCTGCTGCTGGGGCACAGACAAGTATGGAGTCAAGCCCAGGAGGGATCTGGAGCGGAGAAGGACCTGGACAATGTGCCTGTGCCGGCATTTTTTGCTGGGGCACTGACTGACATRAGAAGGTCAGATGGGAATAGAAGGCACCTCTGACTTGGAGAAGGTTGGACACTGCTCCTGCACTAAAGGGAGTTGCAGTTGAGGTACTTAGTGTCTTTGCTGAAGCAAGGTCTTCTCCTGATGCATTTACTGTGTTATGCCAATCAGCACAGAATTGCATAATATGGTCATGCCCATTATCCAAATTAGAGCATGTCTTCCTCATCAAGGTTAGAAGTGATCAGCAGAAGGGGAGAAGATTCCATCTTGGTGTTGGCTGTAACATCAAGCTTCTTGAGGGCTTTTCTGTCCCAACTGTGTCTGCCATTGGCAGCTCTGTTGGCCTTGATCATGACACTGATTTTGTTCTCTGCTAAYTATCATTTTCTTTCTTGCTGGTGCTGCCGAGTCTGCCCTTCTCCTCCCGACTATCAGTTTTAATTAGAAAACATTGCGCCCCACAGCTTGGTTTTGTGACGGATGCCAAGGACATCGCCAAGGATGTCACCAGGGCAAACCAATTACATGAGCAGCAAACTTAACTAATGAGTAGAAGACTAATGATCTTTTTAATTAGCATGTGTGAAGGAGCAAGAAGAAGGTGCAGCGAGGCTAGGCTTACAGCTAGCCTTACAAAGTGGGGCACAGCCCTGGGGGGGGCTCGCAATGTGTGTCACTATGCATAGCCATTATCATAGAATCATAGAATCACAGAATGCTTCAGGCTGGAAGGGACCTCAGAGGTCATCTAGTGCAACCCCCTGCACACGCAGGGTCACCCAGAGCACGGGGCACAGGGCTGCGGCCAAGCGGGTTTGAAACATCTCCAGAGAAGGAGACTCCACAACCTCTCTGGGCAGCCTGTGCCAGGGCTCTGGCACCCTCACTGTCAARAARTGTTTCCTTAAGTTYCTRTGGAACTTTTGGTGCCTCAGCTTGTGGCCGTTTCCTCTAGTYCTRTCRCTGGCCACCACTGAAAAGAGGCYGCCCCCTCCTCCTCACTGCCTCCCTTGAGGTATCTATAGACACTGMTCAGGTCCCCCCTCAGCCTTCTCTTCTCCAGGCYGAACAGGCCCAGCTCCCTCAGCCTTTGAAAGGACTGATGCTTCCCTGAGTGGGGCAAGAGCCATAGATCACCCTGAGATGTTTCTCTGGTGAGTAGGGGAGCTGTGGGGTTCCCCAGGCTTTTGTGGGGCTCAACTAGCAGCTGATGGGTGTCTAGAAAGCTCCATCAGACCCACCTGAATGATTATCTTTCAGCTTGTGTGTCCCCTGTGTGTGTTTGCCAAGACAGAGGAAGAACCATGGTTGACCCTAGCTCTGCTGCAAAGATGCTAGATGGATCTCAGCTAAAGAAATTAGGTGTTCTTCCAAGAACCTGTTGACACCATAAAAGGCACCATAGTCTCATAACATGTTCAGGGAGTTCTTTGGAAACCATCAATTGTAGCCCTTGTGAGATGGCTTAATCTGTTCTCTCTTCTGATAGAGATCTCCTGAGGGCTTCTATAATGGCTCAGTCAGATGCTTCTGCATTCCTACATGGAGCAATTACTCATCTCATGAAATACGCCTACTGGTTGAATAAGCTCTTCTACAAGATATGGTAGAAGAACATACACCAGAACATAAACAACAGTTCCACAATGCCTGGAGTTTTCTTTCTGCTTTAGTCTGGCATCTAAGGTTCCTTTGTCAGGATGTCAGAGGTTCCTTTGCTGCCCTCCCTGTGTCCCAGCCCTGTAATTTCCAGGAGGATGCTGGTGGGACATTATCTAGCTGCTCCTCTCGTCCTGAGGGTGGAATTTGCAGCCACTGCCCATTTGTATTGCGAGAACCTGCCTTTGGGGGTGCCTTTAATTAGCTTGTGTCTCAGCTGGGCTGTGGAGGGCTCCTTGGAGAGCACGGGAGCTCCGGAATCAGATAGGGGTGGCCTGTGTTTAAGGAAGGAGCTGCATGGACCAGCAGATTTTTCTGGCGGAGTCGAGCCGCAGTGTTGGCCTGGCACCTCCCAAACACTTAGGAGGTTCTGCTCCTCCCTCGGCAGCTTGCTCTCTTCTCCCCACCCCAAACCCTGGTATATAAGGCCCCCAGGAGCAGCTTCTGCACAGCGCATCCYGCTCCAGCAAGGCGGACAGCAAGCTGCACCTGCAGATCCAGCACCTCTGCTCTCGGACAGAGTGAGCTCCACACCTTCAGCATGGGTAAGAACCCCCCTGCAGCTTCCACGGGGCCTCTGGCAGCTCAGAGCTGGGGAGCCTTGGTCTACACCTCTGTGCTGCACCTTGTTCCAGCCCCTGTCTCAGGCTGTAGACAACACTGGATCTTTCAAGCTAGTTACTAGCACGAAGTCTGTTCCTCCCAGTCCATGGGGAGGGGATTGTGGAGGAGCTCAGAAGATGCAGAATGGAACTGAGCAGTGTTTTGTTCTGCAAGCCTGGTCCTCATTGCTTTTTAAGGAGGATTTCTGTCTTTTGTCACTACTGCAACAAGTGGATGTCACAGAAATCCCCTTTGAGAGCCAGGGTAGGAAAAGATCCATCTGGTGGGACAGAGCCTTTGAAACTGGCATCCTTAATTAGGTGGAGATCTCCTCTTCTTCTCAAATCAGACTGATGCAGAGCCTAGTGCCACACGTACACAAGCTGCCCGGCAGTCGTGAAAGGCAAATCCTCCCAAGCGTGTTTGGAACAGAGGGCATTTGGGAAAGAGTGTCAATTTGCATGAGGAGAATCACGGAGTCTTTCAGAAATTCCCACTAATAGCTGCATATGCTGCATATACATATTCCCTYACCCCAGAGGAAGCGAATTCTAACTATATAGTGATATACTTTTATGTACTTTTTTTTTTCTTTTCTGGTTTTCTCATCTATGGCCCAAGAATGAAATCTAAGTTGGACAGTTGTCTGTGACCAAGCAGGGCTTGCCCTGCATCCAGCAAAATAATCTCAGTGCAAGTCTTGAGAGTTTTTCCCAAGTTTTTTTGTTTCCATTCTGCCTGTTCTGTGGCATGTCTTCATACAATTTTTCTTTATACCAAGGTTCCAGAGAGGAGGTCGCCTACGTGACCTGCACCTACAGGGAAACGGGCGTCGAGCAGCCCGACTTCCTGGCCACCATCGACCTCAACCCCAGATCCTGCAACTATGGCCAGGTACCTGTGACTCAAGCTTTGTTTTTCCTGGGCTGACCACTACCTGCCGGCTTTGAGCTCCATTCCATTTCCATAATATACAGCATTTTGTCCGTTTTTACCAAGGAAAATCAGTTATTTTTGACCAATTTGCCATGCCAGCTGTGTGCCTACTTGTCTTTCTGTGTATTTCTGTCTCATCCACCCTGTCTGGACTGTTGTCCCCTTCCTTCTGGCAAGCCATTGATGTCTTCCCTGGCCAACCCCATGTGAGCTAAGCCACCACAGGTCTATGTCCCTTTGCTCTGTTATGGAAGTGCACCAGACTGCTAGATTTGGCAAGAATCTCATTCCCTGCTCCTTTGCTGTGTTCTTTTTGTGCTTGGCTCCAGTTGAATCATCTCTGTTTTAATGGCCATTGTCAGCTGCATCTCACACCGCAATTCATTTTCGGAGGATATTGGGTTAGTGAGCACTAGAGTCCATGCACGAAACCACCCCGTCAGAGGCTGGTCAGCATGGAAGATGGTCTCTAGTGATATACCAGTTCAGAGCAACCAGCATTTCTTGCAGTTGAGCATGTTTCTATTCCGCAATTTCAGTGTACCATTCCAAATRGGAAATGGCAGCGAACACTTCTAAACACTGCAAAACCAGCCTGTGCATATTTGACGCTCATTAATCCAAGAGCTGTCAAGAAAATGCACTTAAAARCCCCATGCATTTCTGAAAGTGTTTAGCATATTTTAAACTTTGGCCTTGGAAGGAGCTCATGGACCAGTACATCCAGTTTGACAAGATTTATTCACATATGTAATTCTGTGAATTGTAATGGCAAGAGATGAGTAAGACTTGAAAGAGTGTCAGAATTCAGATTACTTCAGGTGCAAACAGCGCCTTGTCAAAGAACAGTGGAAGAAAAAAGGGCAGTGCCCAGGGAGGTTGTGGAGTCTCCTTCTCTGGAGGTCTTCAAAACCCGCCTGGATGCCACCCTGTGCCACATGCCCTAGGTGTGACTGCTTGAGCGAGAAGGTTGGACTAGATGATCTCTAGAGGTCCCTTCCAACCTGGAATTTTCTGTGATTCTGTGATTCTGTTTTGTGGCAGCTCCCCGCCAGCCTCAGTGAACTTTATTTCTGCCTTTAACTGCCTAGGTGATCCACCACCTGCCCATGCCCAACCTCAAGGACGAGCTGCATAGCTCCGGGTGGAGCGYTGGAAACTCCTGCTTTGAGGACTGCACAAGGGCAAGAAAGAAGCTGATTCTTCCGTCCTTGATTTCTTCCCGTGTTTATGTGGTGGATGTGGGGACCCAATGTAATGCTCCCCAACTGTACAAGGTATGCCTGAGGGAACTCCACGACAAGGTTTGGGAAGGAGTTGGGAAGTGGTGATTCTGGAATAAGATACGGGAAGAAAAGGTCTCTTTGCCTTCTCTTCCGTTCAGGTTTTAAGACCTGGGTTCCTTCAGGTGTGAGTTGCTTGGCAGAAAGCTCTTCCTGCAAGTGTCCAAAATCTTCAGAAATCTCATGTGGACAAAGGCTCTGCCATGGAATGTGAAATGAACTGAGCAGTCAGGGGCTTAAGTGCATGTAACCTTTTTTTAAGTGTGTGTAACCTTTTTGTTCAGATGATTGAGCCAGTGGATATCTTCTGGAGGTGTGACAAGGGGTACCTGAACGTACCTCACGCCCTGCCTAATGGTGATGTTCTGATTGCCAACATGGGAGATCCAGCTGGCAATGGAAAAGGTAATCTCCCCTGTAATCATCCCAAGAATGCGATTCTTATTAGAAAATTAATAACCCTAGAAATGCCAGACTTTAAAAATTTCAGATGGAAAACACAGAATTGTTGCTAAGAAGTTCCAGGCATTCTATGCTGATATAAAAACAACACCTTTGTATTTAGGCTGTATGGAAGGCTGTTACAAATATTGGTTTGCCCAAAGAATTCACTTGGTAGAACCTTTGCACCTGAATATATCAAGGGAGGAAATCTTTGGAAGACTGTGCTTGACCCTTCAATGAAACTTACCACAAAGCATGATATCAGTCTGGATGGAGGGTGTTGTGATCTGTTGTGCTTTTCTCTCTCTGCTACAGGTGGTTTTATTGTCCTGGATGGAGAGAGCTTTGAGCTTAAGGGGAACTGGGAGAAAGACTGTGAAGTCCCTCCAACTGGACATGACTTCTGGTTCCAGCCACGTCATAATGTTTTGATAAGCTCTGCTGGATTAGTCCTCAAACGTGCAGGACCTGCATTTAATCCAGCTGACCTCCATAAAGGTGAGGGAATAGAAGTGCAAATGGTCTTGGGAGAATGACTTTGGAAAAGGAGAAGTGCTGGAGAAAGGGGACAGGCCAGTTTCTCAAAAAAATGACCCAGGTCTCAGACCTTGCTACAGGTAGTGCAATATCTGGCATTATGAGTGGCCTGTCCCAGTCTTGCCCCACTGTTCCCTGAGTTATTCAACTTCTTCTGCTCCTCCAGGCTGAGGCTGCTGTGGCTCTCACTGTCTGTTAGCGTCTTGGCAGAGAATAGTCCATAGGACAAGGGCCACCTCTTCTGACTTGTTTTTCCCTTTGACCTGAACACAGGGGTCTTTGGGCGCCGTCTGAACGTGTGGAACCTGTCCTGCCGAACCCTCATCCAGTGCTTCGACCTGGGGGAGGATTCTCTGCCCTTCAGTGTTAGATTCCTCCACAACCCGAATGCCGCTGAGGGCTACGTCAGCTGTGCCCTGAGTGGCGTTATCTATCGCTTCTTCAAGAACGAGGCACGTGTTGTCCCAGCAGTCACAGCAAGTAGTGCCAGACCCAACCATCACCACTTCCAGGGTGATGCAGAAATTCTGCAGAGAAATTCAGTCATGTGCTCCTGCTGAGTGTATGCTCAGAAACTAGACTCTTCCCRTGGCAGCCCAACTTCTCCATTAACTCAGGAGGGCATTGGGTGGGGTTCTTGCCTGGCCACCTAGGAGATGGTTTAGKGTGGTGGATCTCAGCCCTCCCCTGGGAGCAACCTTCCTAAGGCAGATTTGCCCACTCTGTGCGTATGTGTGTTTGCAGCAAGGACTTTTGCACTGAACTGCACTCTCAGTAGTGGCCAGTGACCGGACAAGGGGTAATAGGTATAAGCTGAAACACAGGAAGTTCCATCTCGATATGAGAAAGAACTTCTTTCCTGTGAGGGTGACAGAGCCCTGGAACAGGCTGCCCTGGGAGGCTGTGGAGTCTCCTTCCCTGGAGATCTTCCAAACCCACCTGGATGTGACTGGGTGCCATGTGCTCTAGGTGTCCCTGTTGGAGCAGAGGGGTTGGACTAGATGATCTCTAGGGATCCCTTCCAACCCCAACCATTCTGTGATTCTGTGAATTACTCACACTTTGGTGTTCCTGTTTCTTGTACAGAGAGGCTGCTGGTCAGTGGAGGAGGTGATTAGGATCCCACCAAAGAAGGTGAGAGGATGGATTCTCCCCGAGATGCCAGGTTAGTGGGCTCTAATTCTCAGCAAATATACGCTTTTTCTTTTGTTTTGTGGACTGCCTGCACACAGGACAGCAGGGAGTGGTGTGAGCTGTGGCTTCATGCAACGCATGTTTTCTCCTGGTGCTGCCTTATCCCTAATGCCCTTTGCTTCTCTGCCGTAGCTTTCTCAGCCTACATCCTCATCTCGAAGGATGACCGGTACCTGTATGTCAGCAACTGGCTGCACGGGGACATCCGCCAGTACGACATCTCCTGCACCTCCAAGCCCAGGCTGGTGGGACAGGTGAGCCAGCCCCAGAGAGGCTTCCACTCTTGGGCTCCTTAGAGTGTCCAGCGGAGGACAGAGGACAAGGCAACATGTCCTACTGTGCCCTGTTGCAGGTGTTTGTGGGAGGCAGCATCCTCCGAGGTGGGCCTGTAACTGTGTGCAGAGACGAGGAGCTGAAGTGTCAGCCCGAGCCCTTGGTGATCAAGGTGAGTTAAGCAGAAAGGTCCGGCTCTCCTTGCCTCAAGGAGAGCCCTGCTCCAGCGTCCCTGTGGGGAGAAGAGTCAGCTCTTCTGCTCTGCTTCTCTGCCCCTGCTTTTGCTTCTGTACCCAAAGAACGAAGCCAGTAGAGTSACTGCTCTCTGTTGTGCCTTCAGTGCAAGAGAGTGCAAGGTGGTCCTTACAAAATGCAGCTGAGCCTGGATGGCAAGAGGCTCTACATCACCAACTCCTTCTGCAGCTCATGGGACAAGCAATTCTACCCGGATTTGGTCAGGTAAGGAATCTTTAGGAGATTCCTCTGCTTGTGAAGGTGCCTCATCCAGAGGCACAGGAACAGGAGCATGGTTTCCTTGTCCATAATATCTGCTCTCCCCTTCCTTTGCAGGGAAGGCTCTGTCATGCTGCAGATTGATGTGGACACTAAGGCTGGTGGCCTGTGCGTGAACAAGAACTTCCTGGTAGATTTTGGAAAGGAGCCCTGTGGACCTGCCCTTGCTCGTGACATCCACTTCCCTTGTGGAGACTGCACCACCACTGACTCAATCTAGGCCCCATGTGCAAGGTTCCCTTCTTCTCTTTCTCCTTTAGTGCAGGTGTTAGGGGTCCTCATTCACCACTGGAATCTAAACTGCTGTTAACAGAAGCTACAGAAGCTCTGCCTTGTTGRGAGGGTTTTGTTTCGACAGAGCAGTGAATAAAGTCCTATGACCTGGGATGAATCTTGCTGGACTGTGTMTCGGTGCAGCGAGCCCAGGCACTCTTTGTGTATAGTGCAAGGAAATCTCTGGGCGTGATTCAGAGCCCAGGGCACTCTCTTGGATATCAAGCGCTTCAGCACATACCGCCTTGCAGCAGGTGAAATCAAATCAGAAGAAAGCCAAGCGCTCTGTTGGAGCTGGAATCTCCAGCTTAGTCATTCCCAAATAGCTTTCCTTTCTATATTTTCAACAGCGGTTCATGGTGAGGTCAAGGTTTTGGAAATTCCTGAGACAGGAATATTTATTATCCTAGTGTGCCTGTGATTCTGTCTTTTTCTAGTAGAAATTGTCTTTTGCTGCAAACCATACTTTTTTTGTGACTGGGCTGTCTTCTCAGAGACTCTGTTTTTATCTATTGTAAAATGTTCTAATCAATTTTCTTATCAACCCTCAGCAATACCTGTCCTTCTATAAAATTCTTTAAGAAACATTCTATCTCAGTGTTATTGAGAGCATCCTCACCTTCCTGGCCAGGGCCCTTGAAGAAAACAAGGTTCATATTCCCATTGCTTTGAGGATAATTTCCAGATATTTAGTCTAGCTTCTAAAGCCTGAAGTGTGTTTCAATAGAAAGCATTGAAGAGAATAAGAGATTTATCAACTGTGAACAACAGGAAAGAAGGTCAACAGAGCAGATTCTCCAAAAATAGGTGCTAAAATGCTTTGAGGAGGAACTTATTTCTCCCCTTTCTTGCCTGTGAATAGAACTGAGCGAGGACTCTATTCCCAGCTATTATTACAGAGATAATGGGATGAAACTCGGGACAGCTGTGACCAAGTAGAATTTGGGAGAGGAAGGGAGGCAGAGACGCGGTGGTTGATAAAAAAAAAAAAAAAAAAGGAGGAACAGACTTGTCATGTTTGTCCAAAGAGTCAGAGAGAAGTAAAGGGAGTCTCTTAGGACAGAGACCTTGATGCCTTCAGTACCTCCCATCCAGTGCCTCAGCACTAGCAATTTATACCGAAGTTCCCATCGGGCCCCCAGCTGCGGATTCGAAGCAGCGTGGTTTCCCAGCAGCTCCTATTTCATGTATGTCACAACTGGGTACAATTGCTGGCCCCCCGCGCCCTCYGGGCTTTGGTGCGCCCTCCCCGGGCCTCCGGGCTTTCTCGTTCGGGTCACAGGCAGTGGTGGTGCAGCAAGCGTTTGTTCTGACAAAATGCTAAAAGGCTGTGTGAGTGCTAGCATGGAGTTAGGAGAAGGGGGTAAGCGCAGAGGTGCAGTTGAAGTG